GAAATTATTTTCAGTGTATATTGAATTCCAAGAAATCCTAAAGGACAAAATTACTGATGATATAAATGTAAAAAAACAAAAAATAAAACTGGATGGATTGTATTTCATTCTCCTCCCAAAATTAATGTACCATCCATGATATTTTACACGCATATGGTTTCTCGGTCATTGGAAGCAGCTGGCTTCAGCAATTAACATTTTACAACAGAAGTTTGAATTAGGGATGTGCAGTGTGAACAGCCATGATAGAGTATCATCAGATGAATGTACGTAAACCGTGTCCTGCAGAAACTGATTTGCATTCAGACTTTCCTGTGATTGTTCCATAGTTTGCAGCTCAATCTGTACAGTGATGAATCTGTTCGTGGCAGTGATTCAGCAGAAGAAACCCTCTTATTCTCTCTTTGGTCCCTCTTGGGTGGGAGATTGTAAGATGTGTAACATTCATCAGAACCACCTTGTTGAATAAGGCAGTTTTAAGTTTTGCCCATCAATTTGCTTACAAAACTGGATCCCCAAATTCTGTAGGTGTTTCATGGAAGTGATTACTACCTTTATTATGTACCAGTTATATTTATATTTTCCCCTCCCCTTCACCTCCGTTGAACTCAAGGCATGGGTTTAATGCTCTTACTCAACACTATGTCCTCATGACTGCCCTGCGATATAGGTCAGGCATACCTTACTTGGCAGTCTGCTAAGCAGTGTGACTTAATAAGTCATGGGAGAACATCTTACTGGTTGCCCCGAATATCTGATGTGTGGCTTTGCTCAGTGTGACTTTGTGGACCGCATCTGGTTTCAAGGTTCTTTTGGGACTTCACTGAACTCTCCAGGACCACCCCCCTGCTCTGGCGGGATTTATTTCATGAAGAAATTAGGATGATACCACTCCAAATAAAAGTGAAAGTCAAGCCAGTTCCAGTTGCTGGTAGAAATTGGATTTTTGGATTTTTTTTAAAACTATAAATCCCATAATTCTCAATTCTGGGAGTTCTATGGGACAGATAAGAGTCTTTACAGATATTAAATGTGGGAGAAAGGCATAAAGTGGAAAGCTTTGAGATCTAGCTAGGCCTAGCTAACACCTAACTTCCTGTTCAGAAAGAAAGCTCTCAGCTACAACTGAAGTAAAAACAGGATGGATGGAGCTAGGCTATCTAGGATTGAAAGACTTCCAATTTAGTTGTATCTGGTGGATGACCCAAATTTATAATAGAATAGTAGAGATGCAAGGGTCTAAAAGGCCATTGAGTCCAACATCCTACTCAATGAAGGAACCCAAATCAAAGTATATATGATAGATGGTTATTTAGTTTTATTTTGAATGGCTCTAGCTTTGGAACGCTCACCACCTCTCAAGGACATTGGTTCCATCCGCATGCTTCTCTAACAGGATGTTTTTCCTGATAATGAACTGAAATCTGGTTCCCTATAACCTGAGTCCATTACTAAAATGTCTTGCACTCTGGGATGATCTGGCCCTTCCTCTGTATGACAGTATTTCATGTACAGTGGTGCCCCGCTTGACAATAATGGGTTCCAGCAAAATTGCTGTACAGCAAAATCGTCATCAAGGGGGAAAAAAAAAAACCATTGGAATGCATTGAAAATGGGTCAGTGTGTTCCAGTGGGGGAAATACCTGCTCGTCCAGCGAAGATCCTCCATAGGGCGGCCATTTTGCGATGCCTGTGCAGCGAAAATAGGTCCGGAAAACAGCGGGGAGCCACTTTGCAAACCACTGATCAGCCGTTTTTAATCGTCATCTAGCGAACAATCGGGTCCCGAAGCAGGGTTCAAAATCATCATGAAGCGGTCAGTGTGTTCCAGTGGGGGAAATACCTGCTCGTCCAGCGAAGATCCTCCATAGGGCGGCCATTTTGCGATGCCTGTGCAGCGAAAATAGGTCCGGAAAACAGCGGGGAGCCACTTTGCAAACCACTGATCAGCCGTTTTTAATCGTCATCTAGCGAACAATCGGGTCGCGAAGCAGGGTTCAAAATCATCATGAAGTGAAAAAAACCCATTGATGCCATGCGATCGCTAAAAACTCATCATTAAGCAATTTCGTCGTCAAGCGGGGCACCCCTGTATTTGAAAGATTCGATCATCTCTCCCCATAGTCTTCTTTTCTCAAACCTGCATATGTCCAATTCTTTCCCCGTAGGATTTGGTTTCCAATCCCCTGATCTTCCCTGTTGCTCTCCTCTGAACTTGTTCTAGTTTTTTGGCATCCTTCTTAAAGTGCAGTGTCCGGAGCTGAACACAGTACTCGAGATGAGATCTAAACAGTGCCAGATATAGAGGAACTAGTACTTCTTGGGATGTGGAGGCTACACCTTTGTTAATGTAGTCTAAGATAGCATTTGCCTTTTTTTGGCAGCCACATTGCACTGTTGGCCGATATCCAGCTTATGATTTACAACAATTCCAATTTTCTTCCTGCATGGAATATTACTGAACCAAGTACCCCACATCTTGTTACTGTGCGTTCGGGGTTTTTAGAGAACTTTGCACTTACCTGTTGAATTTCATTCTCTTGTTTTCAGCTCAGTGCTTGAGCCTACCAAGATTTTTTTTTTTGAATTTTGTTTCTCTCTTTGATGGTATTAACTATTCCACCCATTTTCGTGTCATCTACCAATTTGATAAGCATTCCCAGCATCCACTAATCCAAGTCATTAATAAAAATGTTGAAGAGCACCAGACCGAGGACTTAGCCTTGTGCTACTCCACTTGTTACCTCCTCCCAGTTTGAGAAAGAGCCGTTGATATGCACACTCTGATTCTGTAACCAACTGCATATTCTGTCAGTTGTTCTATCCAGCCCACACCTAGTTAACTTACTTATGAGAATATTGTGGGGTAATTTGTCAATTTTAGGAGTTTTGAAGGTCTCTTGTCTTTCAAGAACTCTAAGAATGGAGAATTATGGGGTTTGTAGTCCAGAAAATTTATAAATCCCATTCCTAGTTCTTTGCACATTTTATGGTATTCCTAAATTTTGCCATGAGTGAAAATACAACCTCCACACCCACAGACGTTGAACACCTGAAGTTAAGAGGCATGTTGCTAATGTATATGTAGGCTCCCTGCAGTTTTCATGTTTCATAGCCTATGTGATAGACCTATCCTCTGTTAGAGTCACTGTAATATTTTGGGACTGAATTCAGTAACATAATTGCACTGGGCAGTTTTCCACCATCCATGTTACCTCTTGTAATAGCATTCCCACTTCCCTTTTTCGTTGGCTAATCACAAGACAGGGACTCCCGAGCATTTGAGGTGCTCCCTTGCAGATTTCATGCTTCCAGCTGGGAATTAGCTGCTTGTTGATTTTTTTTTATTTAGGGCAGCTCATTCTGATGTGGGAGTTGTGAGTGCAGACCCTGCAGTAGTCTGAAGAGTCCTTTGTCTGAAGGCTACTCTTACATATGAGGAGGTGGAGGTATTGATATGAAAGGCAGGTCAGCTGAACTTATGTTTCATCGAGACACCAATAGCAGACTCCTGTGATTTGACTGTGTAACACTGTAAGATGGGTAAGAGGAAGTTGGCTGACCTAGAGAAACCCATGATGCTCCTGTCGATCTTTAATCCGGATACTGGCTGATGCGTTACTGCAGTTGCAGAATATTTCTCTCTTCTCGAACTTACCTGTGGGAGCTTTGTGCAGCCAGACAGGTTCTTACTTCGACTGATCCTGTGGATTGTTGATTCAACTTACTTATTTCTACCTGTTTACATTATGTCTATTCAGCTTTTTTATACATGGTATCATTTTAAAATATGTATATACTGTATACAGTGGTGCCTCGCTTAATGATGCTAATCCATGCAGCAAAATTCGCTGCTAAGCGATTTCATCGCTAAGTGATTTTAAAAAGCCCATAGAAACGCATTGAAACCCCTTCAATGCGTTGCTATGGGCTAAAACCTAACCTTAAAACGAAGATCCTCCACAGAGGCGGCCATTTTTGGTGCCTCTAAAGCAAGGCAAAACAGCGGGCGGCCATTTTGTTTTTCCGGCGGCCATTTTGAAACCGCCGATCAGCTGTGTGAAAATGGGGGCTTTGCGATGATCGCTTCCCCGCGATCATTGCAAAGCAAATTTTCCCCATAGGGACCATCACAAAGCGATCGCTCTTGCAATGGCAAAAAGTCCATCACAAAGCGATTTCATCGCTATATGGAGCGATCGCTATGCGAGGCACCACTGTAGTTTTACAAAACAGCAGTTTGTGCTGAATCCTTCATACACATTGGAGAGTGTTGTTTGTTTTTCAAGCATGGTGATTGGCCATGGCTCCCCCATTAATGTTTAGCGCTAGTTATGATGAAGAGATACCTCGCTGCTGTAGCCCTGAGGAGAGATTTGCATGTGCCAGAAGTGTGCAGATTTGTGTAGAATTCTGGAAATGGTAGTAAAAAAAGCATCAATCTGTATATAGTGTGCACCTTTGTAAGTATGCAGTAGTCTATATTGTATGAATGGCTCTTAGGATAATCTTCATCTTTATGTGCAAAGAAATGCTAGAATGTTGAATGAGAAAGGTTATGTGGTAGTTTTGCTGGTTCGCTGTAATATTTTTTAATGGATCGAATGTATTGTATTACCATCAAAAAGTGTCTTTGCATTAGAATATCTATGGGCATGTTAGGCGCAGATGGAACAGCTCAGACTGTCTCTCTGACCCTGTCTTGTCTGTTCTGACTGATAGCATCTCCACAGCATTTCAAACAAGTCTTCCCTACACCTAAGTAGAGATGGCAAGATTCATCCATCGACAACACATGCCTTTCCCTTGACTTGTGTAACAACCATATCTCAGAATTATTTGAAAAAGCTATGAGGTGTCACTCCACATTGTAAATTATTTCCATCCCCATCTTCTTTCAGTAATAAATGAGCAATATAACAAAGTATCTGTAAAATGGCAAACTTCACCACTTCTGCGTTCTACAATATGATGACTCTGTAACTTTTCTGTCTTCCCAGGAAGAAGAGTTGAGGAAAAGTGGAGAAGCAAAATACTTTCACCTGAATGATGATTTGCATGTGTTAATTGAAGTCTTCGCCCCACCAGCAGAAGCTTATGCAAGAATGGGTCATGCACTGGAAGAAATTAAGAAATTCCTCATTCCTGTTAGTATATAATAGCCTTTAAAATTTCGTTTGATATTCCGTATTAAAAATAGCCCCAGTTGTATAAGAGCGTGATTCCTTAAAAACAGGCAGGTTTGAAGATAAATTGAATTTGAACATTTGCTTGGTCGACACATTGGCAAACATTGTAGGCACTGAATTCGTCATAGAGTGCCATTGTCAGATATGACTTCCTTTCATGAACAAGAGCATCATAACGTTGTTCCCAGCAAATACATATAGACATTAGTTGCTACTGGAAGGAATTATGGCACTGTGATGTGCTGCTCCGCACAGCTTCATCTTATGACTACCATTTCAAAGCCCTTGTGGTATAATGGAAATCATAAAGTAGAGGACATTGCCTTGTACGAATAACTACTAAGAAAAATAATTACATGCTATCTAGTCAATTTTGACTTATAGCAACCCTTGCCAGGGTTTTTGAGATAGAGTATACAGAAGTAGTTTACCATTCCCTTGTTCGGTTGGCACTCTGGGATTGTGCAGCTTGTCCAAGGCCAACATGAGCTAGCTTTTCTCCCAAGAGCAACAGTGGAGAATCAAACTCCCAAGCAACCATAAAGTATTATGGTTTATTTTAATTTCATGTTCTTGTATCCATTCTATAGTGTGGAAGTGTCTCCCTAAAAACTAATGCAGTAAAATGGAGCAATTGCTAGTAAGTTAAACTTCCTCTTTAAAATGTTGTTTCAAAGGAAGAAACGATAACAAATAGCCATCATGTGTACCTGTAAGTAAGAGAAGTCATCACATTTGTGAAAGCTTGTTGAGCATCCCAAAACATACAGGTACCTGCTGCTATATGGTGTTGTGAAAGCTTGTTGAGCATCCCAAAACAGGTACCTGCTGCTATATGGCATGATCTGCTCCAGGAAAGCAGCATTTATAATTGGAAAAGCAGCTGAAATTTAATGCATCACCTGAGGGGAGAATGAAGGACAGATTATGAGACAGACATTGATTGGTGCTAGGATGCTCAAAATTTGGTAAGACGGCAACTCCCAACATTCATCACTTGTGGCTATAATTTAGGTGCTGGTGGTTGTAATCCAACAACATCAGCACCTTGCCCTCTCCTGAATTAAAGAAATCCATGCATAGATAGATATGGGTTAGAGCCATGCTTCGTGTACACCTTTTTAAATTGAGGGGGCTTTAGTTAGTTGTGGACCCCACCTGTATTTTCTAGTGAAGATGTAAAATGGAATGAAATGGGGATCCATAAACAATGATAATCCTTAAATTTGGTTATTTTTGTTATGTGCCATCGGATCACCCACAACTCATGGCGAATGAACTATCTCCAAAATGTCCTGTCCTTAACAGCCCCACTCAGCTCCTGTAAACTCAATGGTATGGCTTTCTATTAGGAAGTAGATCCATCTCATATTTGGTCTTGCTCTCTTCCTGCTGCCTTCCACTTTTCCCAGCATTATTGTCTTTTCCAGAGAATCCTGCCTTCTCATGATGTGCCCAAAGTAGGGCAGCCTCAGTTTCAATATTTGTGCCTCCGGAGATAATTCAGGCTTGAGTTGATCTGTATATTCTGCAAATGCTAATTTATTGAGTAAGCATTTGTCTTCAATCCTTGCAGGAACTCTGTGGTTATTAGACTATATGCAACATTGCTAGGCGGATGGTCTTATTCAGTGTTGCATCTAGTAAATCATTTGTCTCGTCCTTGCAGGCTGGGAGTGGGGAAGTGCAACATTCTTCATGATGTGAATGATGAGGATTTTTCTGTGACATTTAGTAGAATACTCATATTTGTAAGAATAATGTTTCCCACTTTTTGAGAATTGTATCTAATTAGGACTATTACTTCCTTGATTTAAGAATTCTAAGCACTAGGTTGGTAGCTTATTTCTTGATAGTCAAAGCACCAGTTCCCATGTGCTTTGAAAAAAGAGCTCTTTGTCTCCCTCTCAGGTGGAAGGAAGGAATCTCCCTGGCTTTGAAATCTTCTCACCAAAGTGTCTTCTTTTGGTGGCTAGATTGCACAAGTAGACAAGAATGAGGAATTTAGGAAACGTTCTTTCTCACCCTAGCTGCAACAGTACTGTGGGACCGGGGTTTTAAACCAAATTAATGTCTGATGTACCACCGTTGATGCTTGGTGGAAAGCTACAATTCAACAGTAGTGTGAGATTTAACATCTTGAAGAGTGAGTAATCTTGGCGTCAGCACGTCTGGCAAAAGCTTGGCTACTTACGAAAAACGTATCAATTGTATAGTAGTCAAGTGATATTGATGAAATTGCCCGTTTTGTTGATCTGTACAGTTCTTTCTCACCAAAGTAGGGCAGCCTCAGTTTCAATATTTGTGCCTCCGGAGATAATTCAGGCTTGAGTTGATCTGTATATTCTGCAAATGCTAATTTATTGAGTAAGCATTTGTCTTCAACCCCTTGCAGGAACTCTGGGGTTATTAGATTATATGCAACTTTGTTAGGGAGATGGTCTTACTCATTCAGTGTTGCATCTAGTAAATCTCCATTTGTCTCGTCCTTGCAGGCTGGGAGTGGGGAAGTGCAACATAATTTATTGAGTAAGCATTTGTCTTCAACCCCTTGCAGGAACTCTGGGGTTATTAGATTATATGCAACTTTGTTAGGGAGATGGTCTTACTCATTCAGTGTTGCATCTAGTAAATCTCTCTTTGTCTCGTCCTTGCAGGCTGGGAGTGGGGAAGTGCGACATTCTTCTTCATGATGTGAATGATGAGGATTTTTCTGGTGGCTAGATTGCACAAATAGACAAGAATGAGGAATTTAGGAAACGTTCTTTCTCACCCTAGCTGCAACAGTACTGTGGGACCGGGGTTTTAAACCAAATTAATGTCTGATGTACCACCGTTGATGCTTGGTGGAAAGCTACAATTCAACAGTAGTGTGAGATTTAACATCTTGAAGAGTGAGTAATCTTGGCGTCAGCACGTCTGGCAAAAGCTTGGCTACTTACGAAAAACGTATCAATTGTATAGTAGTCAAGTGATATTGATGAAATTGCCCATTTTGTTGATCTGTACAGTTCTTTCCCACAGTTTGTACATAAATGTGGGCAACCATTGTGTATATGTTAATATTTCCAAATGGATAGTAACCAATAAACTATATATGAAGCAGTGGGCTTCCATGCATGCAGGCTTGGATCAAATAAAACTTTACTTTCAAAGTATCACAAGACTCGTTGCTTTTGCTGCAGCTACCCCTCTGAAAGACATACAGTTTCATTATAGTAAAGTCCATTTTGAAATTGGTACTGTATTCACCCTCCTGATTTGCAGCCCTAAGAGTATTTGGAGTCATTTGTCTTACAAAATGTGGTCTGTTCCTTCAGTACGGTTTAAAATAATAAAAGCTTCAAAGTATTTATGAATAAAATCTCTTCAGTCGGAAATGAGAACCACACACAGTGCAAAGGTTTGGAGTAAGATGAAAGGAACTATATTGGACTCTGTCATCCCTGTTACATCTTGACAGAACACTGTCTGACTCAATTATAGAATCCCCTGAAAATAGAAATCGAACTCTGAAATGCCAACATTCGCTCACTTATCTATTTTTATGTCCCGGACAAGGAAGAATGCATCCCCTTTGAACGTGGAAAAGGTGTTCCGTGCTTTCAAGTCTTCTGTACAGTTGAGAGCTGTGAAATAACTTTGTTTTGAATTTTGCAATAGTCTTGAAAGGAATTCCAGGGAGAGTAGAAAAGTTTGCTGCCTGCATCTTATTTATGTCATTGAACGCCTGACTGGAATTCTTTCTAGTAGTTTTACATCAAATCACTCTCAAAATGTTAGCCCATGGGTTGTCTAGATGGGAAGAAATCAAGCAGGTTGTCTAATCAGGTATAATCAGCTTACGTTTCATATTCTTGGTACCAACTAGAACTGCTTACTCTTGTTTTAAGCAACCCTGCTGCCAGTTGGGAGTTTCTCTCTGATTTTGTATTTGCTGTTCTAGTATAATTTTGGATACTTTTTACAAATGCAACTCTAGGAGTTGAAGAAATAAATTGTACAGAAATTAAAAAGTAGCCAAAATCATTTTGTCCATGTAATGTAAATGGCATAACCTTTTGCACCAGATTGCTGGAATTTAGGTCAGTATAGACATTATCTGTTGTGTAACAATGAATGCCGCTCAGCATGCAACAAATAATGCTTACTCAAATTGTAATGTGCAGCAGTTCCCCAGCAAATAGGGACGTGGTGGCACTGTGGGCTAAACCGCAGAAGCCTGTGCTGCAGGGTCAGAAGATCCGGCAGTCGTAAGATCGAATCCACGCAACGGAATGAGCACCCGTCGCTTGTCCCAGCTCCCGCCAACCTAGCGGTTCGAAAGCATGCAAATGCGAGTAGATAAATAGGGACCACCTCGGTGGGAAGGTAAACAGCGTTCCGTGTCTAAATCACACTGGCCATGTGACCACGGAAAGATCGTCTTCGGACAAAATGCTGGCTCTATGGCTTGACGAGCGAGATGAGCGCTGCCCCCTAGAGTTGGACACGACTGGACAAAAAATTGTCAAGGGGAACCTTTACCTTTACCTTCCCCAGCAAAAATCGTGCCATTTGTGTTATTCTGGCAGTAGGATTTTGGCCCATGTATAATGTCAAACAATGTCAGTCTGGCAAATGAACACATTTGTTGGGATTATCAGGTGGTTTTGGGGCCATAGTTTAAAACTAGCCAGTTGCATCCTGTCAGGTGGTTGGGAATAAAGAAATGTACTGACCTGGCTCTGCAAATATGGCATTTGTTGATTAAACTGTAAATCTTGTTCGAATTGATTCACAGTCAACAAGGCAAACCAGTAAATTCATGGTTAAAACATAGAGTATATTGGCATCTCTTTACTTTCCTCTACACACACTTATTGGAAATACAGTTCATAGCATATACACCCATGTTATTCATGGACAGTGCTGGTGATAGGAGAAGCATCCATCACTCATGTGGTAGAACTTACTTCATCTTCTCTCTATCAGCAAATGATTAATCAGGCTTCTTCTGACTTTCCTGCTATTATTTTAGTACATCTGTCACCCCATCCTATGTTTTTTCCACATAATTCCCATGTTCTGGACTTGTGCAGGACTTACATCAATTCCTTGCTTCCTAGAAAACTCTGCGAAGGAAAAGAGAAAACAGGTTATTTTTGGTCATTTCCCTCATTTCAAGGTGAAAGTATTTTCTTTCACCTTGCCTTCCATCTGAAGGTCATGGAGAATTCATCAGATACATCTGAGAATGTAGTGTTGGTCTATTTAGAAGGCTGGTGTAGTTACTGAATCATTCAGACATCAAAGAATTATCTTGATCACTCGTGGTCAATGTTCCCTCTAATTTTCAGTCCTGCTGAGCGGGGTTCAAGGTACACGAGGAGGAAAGCTCTGCAGAGTGGGAAGAGTTTGACTCACTCACACAATTGTGCATCTTAGAGAGGAACCTTGCCCTTCGTTCAAGACCTACCTTACACTTGATGCTCTGGAAAGCAAATGCCCAAGCGAGATATCCCTTTTGTCATCTCTGCTGGATACCAGTGTGTGGCAGACTATTGGTTCATTAAGATGAAGACTAAAAAACGAGGGAGCACCAACTGTTCTTAGGCATTCATGCACACAGGGCACAGCTGCTATTCATTGCTTAAGTGTTAAACAAATTAAGGGAAGATTATCTCCATCAGTAGCTTTCAGCCATGGCAAATAAATGGAATCTTCCTTTGTCAGAGCAGTAGGCGACCTGAATAGCAGGGCTTGGGGACACCCAGGAGTAAGCCATCCTTTTGCTTTTTGGATGTTAGCCACAATAGAAAACACAAATACTGGATTAGATATTCTGGTCCAGCAAGACAGTTCTCGTGTCCCGAATACTTGCCCCCATCTTATTAACCAACCTTCAAAAGAAAAGTGGCCTTTAGCTCTCTTTTTGGGTTGTCTCTGCGCAGTGCAAGGATTTAAGATAGTTTCTCGCATCCTGTGAGAATGCAATATTTTCTTTAAAAGGAATCTGTTCCTACAGGTCCAGGGTCTTCTATATTTGAGGAAGTGTTTAGCATATTTGTAACACTAAATAATCACTTGTCTCTAAATATTTGACAGGAGTGTCTTCCGAGATGCCTGAATATTTCCTCCCCTTTCTCTCTAGGATTACAATGATGAAATCCGACAGGCACAATTGCAGGAATTAACTTACTTGAACGGTGGCTCAGAAAACGCAGAAGTTCCAGTAGTTCGTGGGAAACCGACTTTGCGGGCAAGGGGGGTACCCACCCCTACCCTGGCAAGGTAAGGGGGTGCTTCATTTCTATACCTTTTACATGGGCATAAGCGCTTTGCTAGTCTCTTTTATATATCCTCTATAACCATTTGACTGGTGTTACTGTGCTTTTTTGCTCACATTTACACACATACATACACATATGAACTGGGGAAAAAGTTTCTTTCCAAAAGGAGGCTAGTTCATTGAAGGTTAAAGGATTCCCCCTCCCCTTCCCCCCGGAAAAAAAGCTTTTCTTTTATGTTGTAAAATAGAATCCTCCTTTCAGCATAATAGCACATGCAGGGACCATGTAGCGATATGGCTGTTTTGCTGATATTCATGGAGACAAACCCAGTGTTTACTCAGTATAGTGTAGCCGATAGAATGACAGACTAGGACGCAGGAGGCCCAGGTTCAAATCCTTGGTCTTCCATGGAAGCTTGGAGAGAGGGGATGGCACTGGTAAAACCAGTCCTTAAATATATTTCACTTAACGTTGAAAGTCCTCTTAGGGTCACCATAAGTTTCTAACTTGACAGCACACACACATGGCAGGCAGGGAAAGATGGAAGCTGTATGAGGAAAAGGAAACGAGATAAGGTTTCAGTCAGGGCTTGTGTGTTCATTCGGGCGCCATGATGTCCTGCAAACGAGGGGTGCATAGATCTGATTTCTGTGTGCTTTAAGCACATCTAACTGCATAACTCACACTGGCCATGTGACCACGGAAAGATTGTCTTCGGACAAAACGCTTGAAGAGCGGGATGAGCGCCGCCCTCTAGAGTCGGACACGACTGGACAAAAATTGTCAAGGGGAACCTTTACCTTTACCTTTACTAGCTGCGTAACTAACCGTGGCCAGTGATTTTCTGTTGCTTGGTATAATGCGGTTAAACAAGAAGATATCGAACATAAGGGAGGTTTGTGGGGTGGGGATGGAATTGAGAGAATAGCGGAATAGCAGCCGAGGGGAAAATGAGCCACAGTGCAAGTGAATACAGGGATGTGTTAGGATCCCCTTTAGATAACGGTACAATCCTTGTTTAGAAGAGGAGGCCAGGATTATCCCTGTCATTCAGAATGGGAACTGCTAGTGTGACCCTAGTTGTCCGGTTGAGACCCATACTCTCATCCCAGGGGCTAACCATGGGACTTGGTGTGAGAAATGGAAAGCTGAGTTGGGAGCGTGTGTTGCTAAACGGGTTCTCCAAAGTAGCTCACCACTTCATATGATTCTACAATTCATAGTAGGGTAGGGGCCAGAGCACAATGTAAAGGTGTTATGTGCAGTTTATGAATAAAGATCACTGGGCAGTGGATCGGACTAGATTTGCTTTTCTGGCAACTGACTTGAAAGAAGGAAAACCAGTTGGATTGGAAATACTACAAAACATGGTGGGACTGTGCCCCATCATAGTTTTCTACAACTATGAGAGCTTCTTCTAACTTATTTTGCAAATTTTATCTGTATTAGTTACTGAACTCAAGTGAGGTATATAGACTGTGGCAGATGTAAGGCTTCAGTCTTGAGCATGGTTCATGCATGTGAACCAAAATGTGATGTCTAGATCTCTGTTCTTCTCACCCAACCTTGTGCAGTAGATTTCTTCCCAGCTTCCAGTTTTTAAATCAGACAGTAGTTATATTTGCAGAAATATTTTTGGCCAAGCTGCAATTTGCATCTGTGGTTAAAAGCTTCTGGGTCCAGGTACAGCAGAAGAATTTGCATTCATTCTAGCTAGGTCTTTGGTAAGTTGGAATGTTCATAGAGTTAATGTATGTGTGTGATTTTTGTTTGATGTTGAGGATTAAAGCAATATGTGAATATATTGAACATTTCTAATGGCTTTAGAGCACTTTCTAAGATGGAAAATGCAAGGGATATCTTATGACATCAGGACCAGTGAAACCAAACTTTAAACTTTCTTCTTTGTGGCCTCTGTGAATCACACTGTGGGTGATCCACGCCTGCGCAGAGCCTCTTCAGAATATTCTAGAACTTTTGCGGTAGCAAAACACACGTTAGAATAGACCCCTCCCCCTCAGTATAAGTACCTTGGCTCCAGGACTCTCCCTTCAGTTTCTTTCAACCGCCGCGTTGAAGAGCCTCATACATCTATCTTCTGTGAGTCTCAAAGTCAAACAAGTCCTTTTTACTGCAGAACTTAAAAACATTTTTTCTCTTTCTTATTAATCAAAGATACAGATACGATTTTTCTTTTTCTTCTCTTTATTGTTCATGGCCCCTTTTCAAGCACTTTGATTTGCGATAACAAGATCCCGCTATCAGATGATCACGCAAAGTGCCTTTTTTGTTTAGGCGAGGCATATCAAACCTCCTCGTGCCCTCATTGTAAAAATTTCAAATGAGGAGTCCTCCGTTTTTGCCTATCTCGACTCAGACTCCGCCTCTGGGAACAGTCTTTCCACTCGGCAAAACCTAGGGTTCAAATTATGTATAAAACCACCTCACAAGCCAAAATCACAAGCCAAAGCCATGGAAAAAGCCATTGTAGAATCATTGAAACATCATTCCTCCGCTGCTCCATCTCACTCTGATGCGTTTTCCACTTCATTGAAAACTTCTAAGACGCACAGATCTAAGCAGCTGACATCGAAAACTTCAACATCAAAGCTTTCCGGAAAGCGAAAACCTCCTGATCGGGTTCCCCGCAACCGTAACAATCTAAACAAACAAAATCAAAGACCTCGGCAGTCCCTCCACAGCAGATTTCTGAACCTGGCAGTTTAATTTCTGTACATTCACCCTCTGATGATGAAGAAGGACTTCCATCTCATCAACTAGCTTCTCAGGCACCGACATTAGATGAGCAAGTAGACTGTCTTACTTCCTTACCTAATAGTTCCCAGTGCTTCTCTAACCTGCTGGCTGCAGATGCTCGACCAGCTGCCTCCTCCGATCCGGTATTACCATCGCACCAAAAATCTCCATCTAGACAACCTTCCGTGTCAAAGAGGCCTGGCCTATATATATAAATTTGTTGTGTTGTTTAGTCGTTAAGTTATGTCCAACTCTTCATGACTCCATGGACCAGAGCACGCCAGGCCCTCCTGTCTTCTACTGCCTCCCGGAGTTGGGTCAAATATATATATATATATATGTACAGTGGTGTCCCGCAAGATGGCCGCTGCGTTTCACGACAAAATTGCATCACGACGAAGTTTTTGCGATCGCAAAAGCGATCACAAAATGATGTTCCCTATTGGAGAATTTCACTTTTCGATGATTGGTTCCCTGCTTCGGTAACTGTTCATCGCAAAGCGATGATTTTCGCACAGCTGATTGGCAGTTTCAAAATGGCCGCCAGGTAAAAAACATGGCCAACCGCTATTTTCTGGGACGGATTCCTCGCTGCACGAGCAGCGAAAATGGCCGTGCTATGGAGGATCTTCACTGCGTTTTAAGCCCATAGGAACACATTAATTTGGTTTTAATGCATTTCTATGGGTTTTTTAATATTGCATGACATTTTCATTTGACAGCGATTTTCGCGGAACGAATTAACGTCATGCGAGGCACCACTGTATATATCTCCCCCCTTTATCTTCCTGCTTCCTTTTTCCTCAGTTAAATTGATGTTCTCTCCTCTCATCTTCTCCTGTCCCTTTACTGAAATAATAAAAATATATACATGAGAAAACTTGTTTCCCAAAGCTTTAGCAAGTTAGACTCTTTTTAGGATTCATAAAATCTTTTAAATTTAGCATCAGAAGTGCATGATTGCTGTCTCATAGCAGGTATTCATGCTTCTCTTTCTGTGAGTGAGATTGTTCGGGCATTTGCAAATTAAGTCACAAGCTTAGGGTGTAAGACTGTAGACGTTGTTATGTAGCCTGTCTGTCTGGTTTAAGATCAACATGCTGTTTTATGTGACCCCTTGTTCCTTAGACCATGACCCTCTAGAGAGAGAATCATCACAAGAAGCCTTTATCTCGGTCCCACCACATTCACAGGTGCACTTGGTGGGGTCTCTGTTGCTGCTCTGGGACTCTGGGACTCCCTCCCACAGGATTCTTGTACTTTACAGGGGTTTTTTTAAAAAAATTTCTCTCTCCTTATAAAGGTAGGATAAGGTAAGGGGCAGCTGGGATAAGAGTACGCTCAGAGGGGGTGGATTTTAATGGATATACAGTATTACAAATCAATATTTTTCATAGTAATTCTATACATTCTCTTCTAGAAATAGTTCCACATATCATAAAGAAATAGAGACAGTGTGTGAGAGGCAAAAATCAAATTCAGACAGATATATTGTTGTTCTAATTATTGATTATGTAGCTGATAGTCTTTATCCATCATTTATTCTGTCTCTTCTGCAGCCATACAGATAACTAGATATCAGTCCCCTATTCTATCTACCTTGTAACCATGTATATAATTGCGACCAAATTTTCCGATGGTCTTTTTTCTTTTTTGCATCTAGCCATTCTGACAGTATGTCTATTTCTGCAGTTTCAAGTATTTTATCTATCACTTCATCTGTTTGCGGTGTTCTAGATTCCTTCCAGTGTTTTGCAAAAATATACTCTTGCTGCTGTTATAATATGAATAGTTAAATATGATTTTTCAGTGTCTAGTATATCTGGCAAGATATTTAATAGGAATAGTTCTGGTACCATCGGTATTGAAGTTTCTAATATCTCTTGTAGCATCTGATTCACTTTACTCCAGTATCTTTGGGCATCTTTGCACATCCACCACATGTGATAAAATGTTCCTTCTTTCTGTTTACATTTCCAAGATATATTTGAAATCTGGGTGCTTATTTTAGCCAGTGTTGTGGGGGTCATGTACCATCTGTAGATGTTGTTATGTACCCTGTCTGTCTGGTTTAAGATCAGCATGGTGTTTTATGTGACCCCTTGTTTCTTAGACCATGACCCTCTAGAGAGAGGACCATCAGGAGAAACCTTTATCTCGGTCCCACCACATTCACAGGTGCACTTGGTGGGGTCACAGGAGAAGGCCTTCTCTGTTGCTGCTGTCAGACTCTGGAACTCCCTCCCACAGGATTCTTGCACTTTACTGTTTTGAATGTGTTTTGGTGTCACTTTAGTTTACTGTTTTTAGTGTGGCAAGTGTTTGATCCTTTCAGTATTGCATACTCACTGTTAGCTTCACCTACAGTCTTTTAATGGTGTAAGCCACCTCGGGTACTTGTTAAAGTACAACCGTGGGGTAATAATATTTTAAATACACAAATGAATGGTTATATGTGGTTATAAATGTTAAACATTACCTGTACTTGAAATCCATGAAACATTTCATATCCATATTGATATACTAAACCTGCTTGATGTGTTTGTGAAGCTAAAAGTTTTCTATTCTCCAAAAGGGTTTTGATGGTCATTGCTCATTAGGATGGGAGTGGACATATCCTCAGTCCATCAGTGGTATATTTGCATACTGATGCCAAGTAGTATCTTCTGGTAACATGGCTGATTTATTCCTGGATATCTAATGCAGTTTCACAGATAAGGCAGCCAATTAAGTTGTAGAACCACCGTACAAATGACTGTCTCTCGCTGTCTTTCTTCCTTGCCAGCAGGCATAAAATAATCTAATGGCTTAAATTTAAGCTCATATGCAGAAGTGTTGAACTGATTGGATATACTTTTAAGGCAGGGGACCAACCTTAAAGCCCTTCTCTGCTATTATTGTGCACCAATTACTGCTATTGAGCAGTTACATGCAGATTTCACTTCCATGGCTTTCTGATTACAGAAATGCTTGTTTATGTCTGCATATGCTTGGCTGTTCATTTGCACTTAAGATTCCTTATGTGGCTGGGGCTTCTGTGCAGGACAGAAGAGGTTGATTAAGATGCAGAGAAAAGCTAATTGTGTGATGCCTGTCTTTACTGTAAAAATAAAAACTAGGGAGTATACAATTTTGTGAAATAAATGTTTGGTGCAGATAATCATCATTTTGAAAGCAGCTGCTCCGTATCAATAAGACGGTCCTTGCATCTCAGAGACAGAATGTGCTGAGATCTCTTCAGTGAGTCAGTTTCAGCTTGTAGCACTTATTTTAAATCACCTCCAGCATTTGGAGAAGAGTGAGATCAAGTAGCAGACTCTACGGGCTAGCTTCAGAGGTAGATCCTGTTCTTTTCAGACAAGGAATGTCTGAAAAACATGCCCACTCAAAGTTTCTTTAGTACAGTGGTGCCTCACAAGATGAGTGTTTCATTTAACGAAGAAAACGCATAACGAAGTTTTTGCAATTGCTTTTGCGATCGCAAAACAATGTTTCCTATTGGGTTTTCGATGACCTGCTTCACTAACTGATTATTGCAAAACGAAGATTTTCGCATAGCTGATCGGCGGTTAAAAAAATGGCCGCCCGCTGTTTTGTGGGATGGATTCCTCGTTGCACGGGCAGCGAAAATGGCCGCGCTATGGAGGATCTTCGCTGGACGGTGAGTTTCAAACCCATAGGAATGCATTAATCGGGTTTTAATGCATTTCTGTGGGCTTTTAAAAATCGCTTTACGATGTTTTCGTTCTACAGCGATTTCGCTGGAACGAATTAACATCGTAATGCGAGGCACCACTGTATCTCTTCTGTTTTGCTCACAGACCCAGCTTGGCCTGCCTGGGGTGCTCATTATTCGTTTAGTTCTTTCTTCAGATATTACATTTATAGGAATGTTTGTTCACATTTGAAAAACCATAACCAGAAAGTGCTGTTTCTGAGTTTATGTTTGGGGAATCCTTGATATTTTGTTGGCCTCTCAATTAGCTGTGAAAACCCTAAGAGCTTCTCATGAGGGCAGAATGGAACCTTTATTAAAAAGGCATTTGATTAAAGTGGTATTCTGCAAATTGGATCAGACTCGGCTTGAGTGCTAATCCCTGAGTTACCATTTACAACAGGGAGTTTTCTGGATGAACAACAACAACAAAAAAGTGAATCTGAATTGTTTTCTTCTTCTTAGAGCCCGTGGAGGTGTGCCACCCCCACCGACTGGTGTTCCACGAGGGGCTCCAGCACCCAGAGGAGTACCCCCTGGTAGAGGTCCCATCAGTCGTGGCCGCGGTCTTTTAACTCCCAGAGCAAGAGGCGTTCCTCCATCTGCAGGCTACCGATCACTTCCGCCTCCTCCAGCACAAGACACGTATGGAGAATATGTAAGTAGAATCGCCCCAGAAAATGACTGATAACAGGAAATCTTTGGAAAACACACATTCCGCTTAGCGATTAAGTGTTTTAACTTTAAGACACTCAAATGCTTTCTGATATCTTTGCCATGGTAAGAGGGCAAAGGGGGCAAGCAAGTGGCAGCAGGGGGTGAGATGGAAGGGAGGGGACAGAAATAGAAGATTCATGCCTAGGATCTCTAGTTTGAGCAGGGAAGCTGCACTGAAGGAATGAGGTGGGCTCAGTTGGTTCTTCCTGAACCTCTGCTGATAGTTTAGTGAAGATGGGAGACAAGATTGAGCATCTTTGTCCATCTCAGGGATGTGAGGTTTGGAAATGTTCTAGAAAGAAAAGGTTAATATGGCCTCTTGAAAACAGCTTCCTTATCTTACGTACTGGGTTCAGTTGAGCCCAATATTGATATAATGTACAGTGGTGCCTCGCTTAACGAGCGCACCATTTAACGACGAATCCGCATAGCGACGCATTTTTTGCGATCAAAAAACCGATCGCATTGCGATGTTCTGAATAGGGTAAACATCGCATTGCGATGATCGGTAAGCATTTCGCTTACCGATCTTCGCATTGCGATGTTTTGGAACAGCTGATCGGCGGTTCCAAAATGGCCGCCGGAAGAAGAAAATGGCCGCCCGCAGCGTTTTCGCGCCGATTCCACGCTTACCGAGGAGGCAAAAATGGTGGCCGGATTGAGGATTCCTGCTTAGCAGTGAGTTTTGTCCCCGTAGGAACGCATTAAATGGAATTTAATGCGTTCCTATGGGGTTCCCCCCCACATAGCGACATTTCCGGATAGCGACCTTTTTCCTGGAACGGATTAACATCGCTATGCGGGGCACCACTGTATAGAACTGCCGTTGAACTCTGGAGACTTCAGCTGTATTTGATACTCGTGTTGAATTTCAACTTGATAACGTTGAGTCAGTTGTCACATCTCTGAAAGGTACCTCAGAGGCTTGTTGTGAGGCTAAAATGAAGAGAAGTTTGTTATATCTCAAATATTTACCTGAATTTTTGGATTAATCTAAGGAGCACTGGTGAGTAGGGGATGTAGTCGGGGAGAAGGGAAGGTGGGGTACCTGTAGATAGAGGAGAAGAGGCTTCATGGGATAAACTGGCTCCAACTATTGTTTAAGTGATTGAAGCCAGTTCTTTGAGTAAGACCCAGAAATGAACTCTCATCCAGTGCAAGGGGCAATGTGCTAGCATAATATGATCACCTTAGCCATGCCTAGTGTGGTGCAGTTAAGGAGGAAGAGGGGGCTTACTGGGATCAATGGGATGGTCCATCAAACCCTCCTTTTTTCATCTGTAATGTTAGCACTGGTTTGCTCAGTAGACGAATGGCAGATACTCCAGATTCTAATAGATAGGATTTCTGTGCTTACTTTTTCACTTGGCTGTAAAAAGAATGCTCCTTCTTTTCTTTGGGTTAATAATAATAAGAAGAAGAAAATTTCCTTTGTAGCTGATCTATTTTAATTTCACGTAAAAAGTAGCTTTTTACTAGTTAGTTATATGCCGTCAAGTTGGAACTGACTTATGGATACCCTAATAGGGCTTTCAGTATAAGTTAGATGTTTAAGGAATGGTTTTACCGGGTCGTCAGTGAGTTTCCATGGTCAAGCGTGGATTTGATTCCTGGTCTCCACAGATACCTAGTCCTTTCCTCTCTCCACCATCCCACAATGGATACATTTATTTACTAGCCATGGACAAATAGTTATTGAGCTCGTTGCTTTACTGGAATCTTCTTTTCTACCAGAGACCATTGTATGGCTGCCGCAAAAGCTTTCCCCGCTTTACGATTGCCCTGCATTATGACGAAACCGCATTACGTTTAAGGTTTTGGGATCGCTTTTGCGATCGCAAAACAATGGTCTGAATAGGCTTTTTTAGCTTTGCAATGAATGGTTCCCTGCTTCGGGAACCGATTCTTTGCAAAATGACGATTTTCCTACAGCTGATCGGCGGTTTCAAAATGGCCACCAGGTAAATAAAATGGCGACCCACTGTTTTCTGGGACGGATTCCTTGCAAGACAGCCATCGAAAACGGCTGCCCTATGGAGGATTTTCGCTGGATGGTGAGTTTTTAGCCCATTGGAACGCATTAAACGGGTTTTAATGCATTTCAGTTGGTTTTTTATTTCCGCATTACGACGTTTTCATTCTACAGCGATTTCGTTGGAACGAATTAACATCGTAATGCGAGGCACCACTGTATATTGTGCCAAAGTTATAAATATGTTTGGAATCGATCAATACCTTTCAAACCAACTGCTTCTTACCCATTTCTACACCTATAGGCAGAAATCCAATAGCAAGTCATGACTATCATAGAATCACAGAATAATGAAGTTGGAAGGGGTCTATAAGGCCTTTGAGTTCAACCTCCTGCTCAATGCAGGAATACAAACCAAACAATATCTGTTTGGTGGTTGTCTAAATTTCTTGTGAATGCCTACATTGTTGGAGCACTTAGCTCCTCTCGAGGTAGATTCCATTCTCATACTGCTCTAATAGTTAGGATGTTTTTCCTGATATTCAATAGAATCTTGTGCCTATTGTTGCATGTTCTGAACTCTGGGATGATCGAGAAGAGATCTTGCCCCTCCTCTGTATGACAGCCTTTCAAATGTTTGAAAAGTGCTATCATATCTCCCCTCAGTCTTCTTTTTTTCAAGGCTAAACATGCCCAGTTCTTTCAGCCTTTGCTCATACGGCTTGGTCTCCAGCCCCTAGATCATCTTTGTTGTCCTCCTCTGGACTTGTTCCAATTTGTCAGCATCCTTCTTGAAGTGTGGTGTCCAGAACTGGACACAATACTTAAGGTGAGGCCTAACCAGTGTCAAAAAGAGGGTAACTAGTACCTCATGGGATTTGGAGACTACCTCTGTTAATCCAGCCTAAAGTAGCATTTGCCTTTGTTTTGTAGCCACATCACACTGTTAGCTCATATTCAGTTTGTGATTTATGACTATTCCAAGATCTTTCTTGCTTGTAGTAGTGTACAGCTGTGTTTGGTTTCTTTTTCCTAGGTGCAGTACTTTGCACTTATCCCTGTTAAATTTCATTACTGTATGTTGTTTTCAGCCTAGTGCTCCAGCTTGTCAAGATCATTTTGAATGTTGTTTCTGTTTTCCTTATTCCACCCAATTTTGTGTCATCTGCAGATTTCATGAGCATTCCCTGCACCCCCTGATCCAGGTCATTAATAAAAAGGCTGAAGAGCATAGGGCCCAGGACTGATCCTTGGGATACCCCGCTTGTGACCTCCTCCCAGTTAGAGAAGGACCCATTAATCATCAACCTCTGAGTACGATTTTTTAGCCAACTGTGTATCCACCTGATGCTTGATCTATCTAGCCCACACCTAGTTAGTTTGCTAATCAGAATATCATGGGACACTTTGTCAAAAGTTTTGCTCAGTCTACAGCATTCCCTCCGTCTGTCAGAGAGGTTAGTTAAAGCTTAAAGGTTCCCCTTGACAATTTTTGTCCAGTCGTGTTCGACTCTAGGGGGCGGTGCTCATCCCCGTTTCCAAGCCATAGAGCCAGCGTTTTTGTCCGAAGACAATCTTCCGTGGTCACATGGCCAGTGCGACTTAGACACGGAACGCTGTTACCTTCCCACCGAGGTGGTCCCTATTTATCTACTCGCATTTGCATGCTTTCGAACCGCTAGGTTGGCGGGAGCTGGGACAAGTGACGGGCGCTCACTCCATCGTGTGGATTCGATCTTACGACTGCTTGGTCTTCTGACCCTGCAGCACAGGCTTCTGCGGTTTAGCCCGCAGCGCCACCACGTCCCTAGTGTCGGAGAGGTTACCTGATCAAAAATGAGATGAGGTTAGTCTTGGCAGGATTTGTTCTTGACAAATCCATGTTGACTTCTACTTATTACTACATTGTTTTCTAGGTGGTTGCATAATTTGTTCCAGAATTTTGCCTGGGATCGATCTGTAGCTCCCAGGTTCCTCTTTTCTTTTCTTTTTGCCCTTTTTAAAGATAGGGACAGCATTAGCCCTCCTCCAATCTCCCCCATTTCCCATTATTTCAAGACATGGACAGCAGTTCTGACAGTTCTTCAGCTACTTCCTTCAATGTTCTCAGATGCAGTTCACCCAGCCATAGAGACTTGAACTCTTTCAAGTATGAGGTAGACCTGTTGAATCTTTAGGGGTTTGGTGAGTCAGCTCCACCGTAAGTTCCACTGAACTTGGAAATAGTTCGCTCAGACCTAAAGAAATGGCAAAGTATGTGCCATGCTTTCATAAAGATACACATTCTTTATCAGCCAATCTTCATGGATGCCAAAGATTAGTTCCCGGAATTTTCCCTAGCTTCCAGAGAAAGCCAAAGATATTTATTCAGGTCCTTCTGTTTATTACTGATAGCATTTTATGTTGGCTTTCACAGGTTACATTGATGTGTGACTTTTCAGTGCTGTGACCTGTTGCACAACTTCTAACACTAAACTGGTAGTTTCAATTGCATTACCTTTTTTGTGTTGGAAATATTAATTAGAAGTGAGGATTAGGCTATTGCTCCAGCGTATGTTTATGGGGAGGTAAATCCCATGGGATTCAGATGAGCTGACTCTAAATTGAATGTGGCAAGGACTAGTAACATTCAGTGGTGACAGTATTTAGGCATCAGTTCACATAAGTTGGTCACCAATGAAGTTCACATCTTTTCAGCTGATGAGCACTTTTATCAGATCAAGCCTACTCCCTAGGTTTCCTGGTGTGGGATCCAAAGAAAACAGGATGCCTTTTCCTTCTGTTTTCTGTCTCTGCATTCTGTCATGCCTTAAAGCTGTGGGCCAATCAGATTTATCTGCTTCCTTTCAAAATACTGCTCATGCTACTGATGCTGTCACTCAAATTCACAGACAGGCCCCTTTCAAGATACAATATTTGTGTGTGTAGTTTAGTATAGTGTAATGTTAAAATAATTAAGGAGATATAGA